AGTAATTTGAAGGCAAGGTGTACATAATTTCGCTATATAGAGATAGAAAAATTCCAAATGAACATCCCTTTACCACGTCTCTCGTGTTCTACCGTTACACAGGCACATACTGGGGAGACATTTGAGTGACAACGCATGAGAAGTCATCACTCAAGTGGAATCTGAATCAGAAACAACAAGTTAATGGGTTGTTTCGAAGATGAGGAAGAAGTGACCGTCTATGGGGGATCGTGGAGAAAGTTGAAGAAGACTGAATAGAACACGGTGAAATAGAAATCTTCTTTTTTTGGAGCTCTATGTTCCACTTCGAACCAAAGGGAATAATAATAGTAATAATGATAACCTTTCTAGTGGTAAAATACTGTTTAGGCGATCATTTCAGTACTAAAGTGAAAAACATTCGACAGAGAGAGAGAGACGCGTAAATACCCCAACACTTTCGCATATGTCTCATTATTTGGTTGTTGTTCTTGTTGATTTTTATGTATAAACATATTCATTTCTGACAACTTTGAACATATTTAATGAATTAAACAGAAAAGAATTTGAGGGGATTTATATCAATTCAGTAATGTATATATATATCAACAGATTGTTTTATTTTACTGGGTAGAGTCCATTCCCTTGCCGTTAATACTATTACTGCTAATAATAATACTACTCAAAATAAAAATGTCTGCGGTTGTCATGTTTTTTTTTTGTTGTTGTACCAATTTCATTTAAAGGTAGCGAAATAGTATGATGACAAGTTATGGCGCCAAAAATCTTAATATTTTGTAAAAACACAAAGGTGGTTAATAAACTCACCGTACCACATTTTGACGGGTTTTCCATATCACAAATCTACACACACACATGCACTCATACACAGATGCTTGTATTATTCATTTATTGGTATAATGTTGAAGATCACGGGGTGGATGAGGGTCGGTTGGGAATATTCCCTTGTCTATACTCACATATATAGATGAAAAAGGGTACGGGAAACCAGTGGAAATGGAAATGAGTCAATGGACTTCAGTTTCAGTGTCACTGGCAGGTTGTGTTGTGTTCATTGTTACCTATGATTAGTATTAGTATTATTATTATTATCATTTTGAAGGGGGAGTGGGACTAATCTTTTCTGAAAAAAAGAACACAACAAAGTAATCACAAAATAATTCATCATTGGTATCCTTCCTATACACACGGAAAATCTAAAAGAAACCCTATACAGTGTTGTAAAGTTGTCATTTCTACAGCTCTTTTTTTCATGATTGAGTTTTCCTTGAAACTGAGCCGACCTTTTTTTTTGACATATTTTTTCCGGTGGTATTCAACAAATTTATCATGTTATGTTGGCTTTTTTTTTTGTGTGTGTGTGCGTGTGTGTGTGGTTTTTATTTGTGAAAATCAAAGTTATAACGAGTAAAATCAATAAGGTGTTCGTATATATATATATATTATATATATATATATATATATATATATATATAGGGAAAAAGAATTTTGAGCAGAAATAAATTTTTGAATTTGAGGATTGTTCCTATAGCGCGCTATCGAGTTTATAGTAGACTGATAACGTGATTGATATAGTATAAGTGAAACATTCATAACTTGGAGTAAACACAGGAGTCAGACAACGGTGCTTATTATCACCAATGATATTCCTAATGGTGGTGGACTGACTGGATTATCCGTCAGACAGTGAGTGGGAGACGAGAAGACAGGGATTGATATCCTGTCTGGAGCGACGTGAAGAACCTAGAAGACCTGGATTTCTCGAGTGGATGATTTATGTTTGATGTCACACAAAATTGAAGAATTACAAGCGAAAACCGACCGACAAACTGGTCGAAGAAGCAGCCAGAGAAGACAGGACTCCATGTGAACACAGGTGAACAAGACGGAGGTTATGAAAATAACCAACCAACCGACCAACAACAACAACAATAGAAGCAGAAACATCCAGCGCCAATCACCATCAACGAGAGGGATTTGAAAGAGGTTAGTTACTTCATTCATTCACTCATCTAGGGAACATTGTCTCAAATACAGGAATGGAGGAACGGACGAGGATGTCAAATCGACGAGAATCGTGAAGGCGAGAAACAAATACATTCATCAGCCTGAAACCAATCTGGAAATCTTTGTCACTCAGCCAGAATCAACAACAAAATTCCGTCGGTCGGATTTTCAATACAAACAACGTCAAGTCAGTCAGTCAGTTCTTCTATACAGATCGGATGAGAAACTTGGCTTCACAAAGAATATTTCCAACAGGCTGGCTATTGCAGACGAGACCTTTATCAACAACTAACTGTCTTCTCTCTGTACTGAATGGAGATCAGATGGTCAGGCCGGAATCAATCACCAACAAGAAACTCTGACTGGGAACAAACAAAACAAAACAAGAAGCAATCGCCAACCAACAAATATGCAGGAGAAAGTGGATTGAGATAAATCGGTCACTCGCTGAGGAGACCGCTGGGTGACATCGCGCGTCAAGCCCTCGGGTGAAACCCGAAAGGGAAGCGGCGAGTGGGACGTTGGTGCAGGGGTGACATGGAGGAGATCGTGTTGGAGTTGGAACAGTATGCACTAACATGGATGTAGGTGAAAAGTACAGCAGAAGGAAGACAGAAGTGGCAAGTGGAGACGTGCATTTGAAGCCATGTGTTCACTAGGAACCCAAGGGAACAATAATAATAATTCATAACCTGTACTTGGAGTTCATCTTAGTTGTACACAGACTTTTTCGAATCAGTGATTCATAATTTCACATCTACTCAAGTTATGAGCTGGCGCTAACTCTAATCACGAACCTGTTGGGTAGATCTATCTGTGGTCAATCAACTGTGTGTGCTGCACTATAATGTGTGTTCATGCATGTAGTTTTTATTTCATTCTCTGAGAATTAACTCATTTAGGAATGGAATGGTTTTATCACAAGTTTCAGTCAAATGGAAAAATTCCCATCCCAATTTTTGACTCATCAACTGGATTCTACCTGCATTCTCCAGTGAACAGCAGTCTTCTCATTGAGACTCGAACTCAGTACCCATTGTTTAAAATGCTAAACTGTTTTTTTTATTGAGTAGATAACCTTTTTTTATTTCCCCGTTCTAGTCAAAAGTCGTGACCAGTGAGGTCCAATTAGATGTCAGTGTGTGGATGGATGTCCCACCGACGACAATGGTTAGGGTCACGTTAAAATCACGAATTGATAGAAGTTAGAATCATAGGTTGGCTGGCCATTGAATCGGGTCCCACTGGCTGAATGGTATACGAACCAGCTTTCCGTTTAACCTACACGTCCTGAGTTCTAACCGTGGTGGTGGTGGTGGTGGGTTTGTACTGTCGATGATTCCCAAACTAGTGGGATGAAACAGCAGCTGTCCAGTACTCCTGTGGTTGGTTTTCAATGATTCTCTAACTGATATCAATCCGTGATCAACTCGTAAAAAACAAAAATAACCCTTACAAACCAAACTATAGAAAAAGTTATTGTTTCAGTCATCAAAATATTTCAAAAATGGGATGTAACTAGGGTAGTGGTAGCGAGTTGTCAAAAAATAGCTGTCATGTTAGTCAATGCATAAGAGAAGTTGAATAAGTGTATTTTAGTTGCATAATAAGACGAGTAGTTTGATGAGTGAGTTATGATTAGGATGTACATAGAAAGAAAGAAAGAAAAATTAGCAATTATGTAAGAGTTGTGAAGAAATACAAGGGTAGTAAGCAGGTTAGAAAAGCAGACACACATCGAACATCAAGTCAGTAGAAGTCAACACAGTTATTGCCATGATAGTGGAAGTGGTTGGAATAATTTTCTTTTGCATGTGTACAACTCAGGTTTTTCCAAATGAATGGATAAGGAAGGCTTCAGCAATACAAAGGAGGAGAAAGCGTATCGCCTTTAATAGGTTATTCCTGACTTTGTAGATCATTTTGAAGAAGGCGTTTGTTGAGTTGGGATGACCAGTGTTGTCAAAGTGTTCTATGATCGCACTCCTTATGCAGCCACTATCACTTTTTTGCAGCCATACGGGATAGTTTTCTCGAATACTTTTGGACAAGATACGCATCGAACGACCAATGTATCTGGCTCCATAGCTACAGGTGAAATGATATATGGACATAGAAGTGGTTAGATGTGAGATCTTGTCTTTAAGCCTTTTTCATACGAATCAACGACTGGAGAACACTACTCCTAGTGTTGTTGAAAAGAATGTTCTTGTCAAAGATATCTCAGATCAAGTCTCTCCTAAAATCCAAGATATCTGTATGCTGTATCTCAATCAATTCAGTTTTGTCTCTATCGTTGGGAGACTAAGAAAATTTTCTTCTGTTCGAGCATATATTCTTCATTTTCTTCATGTAGTTTGTTTAGTTCAGAAGAACTACACCAACACATTTGTCAGGATGGATTATAAGTGTAATTACCTGAAGTTATTTCAAATTGTTCACATTAATTAATTGAATTTTAGATTTTTCCGTCGGCTGATTGGACCGAAGTGTTCAGTCTCAGGTTGATATATCGGCATCTTGTGCAGATGCTTCGGCGATTTCTGGGCATGTAATTAGAAGTTAGTTGATGATGGTGAATAGCAGTGGAATACACCAGTATGCGCATTTCGTCCTATTTTGGACTCGTCATCTGGATGTACCTGAGACCGAGCACTTCGGTCCAATCAATCCACGGGAAAATCTAAAATTCAGTTAAATGATTAATATGACCCATTGCACAACAGATGGCTCTCATGGCCCAAGTGGTCTAGTGGATAAAGCTCTGGCGTTTGAAACTATGGACATTAGGTTCGAGTCTCGGTGGAGATACCATCATCCAGATGACGAGTCTCAAGTAGGACGAAATGCGCGTTATCCTGGATTCCGCAGCTAGTCACCAACTACCAATTAATATTCACATTACTATATAAAAATCTTAATCATTTAATCAAAACTTTTCAAATTCTACTCTTCTTTTTTTTCAATTTTTTTTTAAACGAAATCATTTGCAGATTCAACGACCAATATCAATGAAAAAGGATGGTATTCAAACACGTAATCGTAAAGTTTCACAAAAGACAAAAAAGCATAAATTTGGTTTTTATTCCGAACTTTCTGATTTACCAGTTGACTATTTAATGAAAACACCATTACACCGGTTCGGCGCAGCTGCCGCAGCGGCCGCCGTAGCAGCCTCAAATCATTTTGCCTGTACTACTCGTGGTCTACAAGCTATTCCGCCGCCGCCTAGTTCACCCAACTCTATGCGTAATCCTTATTTAACTGGTTATTTCACCGATGGAAATATCAACAGTGGTGGTAGTCTATTAAATGGGATAAAACAGCATAAAGATAATGGAAGAGGTGAGCTGAATCATTCTGATGAAGTTGGTCAGTTTACTGATGTTACAAAAGCATTTCATGCTACATTTGGTAGTTTAACAAATAGTTCTGGAGAAGAGATTAGACATTCCAGTTTATTAAATAATAATAATAATGATAATAATAATAATGGTAGTAGTAATCATTTCCAACTGCCTTCTCCACATCCCTCACAAATTCATTCTCAACACCATCTCGAACAACAACAACACCAACATCAACAGTACCTTCAAAAACAACTATCTCAACAGACAAATCCTGTCAACTTTACAAGTGATCTTTATAACCAACAGGCATCTTCTTTAATCAATAATAACAATAATAACCATCAACAAATGAATGAAAAGTACTCAAGATATCAAAAATCGAATTATAATTCTGGATTGATATATAATCATTCTGCTAGTGATGAACAGAATGCTAGTGCTGCCACCGCTTCCAATAACAATAATGGTAATGGTAACGGGAATTCAGAATGTATGCCGTTAGGCGTAAAAACTTCAAGCCTAATTCATCATTCCCCTACAGATATCATGCTACAATGGAATTCACATTTACGATCTACACCGAATCAATTAGACGCAGGAGGTGTTGGCAATTTCAGTCCTAATTCTTTATATAATCGTCAGCATATTAGCAGTAGTAGTAATAGTAGTAGTAGCGCGGGTGGAAGTGTTACACACACTTCTTATTATAACCAATCCGATAAAAATGATTCAGATCAAATTGATAATAATAATAATAACAATAATAATAATTTAACAGATTCACTAAATCATCATTCTGTTTTATTGTCATCAGAACATCGAAGTACCGGGCAGGATTTATTAAATTGTCATGAAATGAAAGTTTGTTGTACGGATTCATTAACGTCAAATTCTGCTGGTAATTATCATCACCATCAGAATTTAGAGTCTGTTAAACCACAAAAGCAAGAACAACCACACCACCACCATCAACAACAGCAACAACCATCACAACAGCATCAGTTGACAAATCATTCTGAATTAGGAGGAGTAGCAGGAGGAGCATTCCCTTAATAATTAATAAATTGTCTTGTTATTTATTCGGTTGTGATATTTGCACATATATATACATATACGTAGCCATTTCAACTTCTCACATTCTTGTATAAATCTTCTAGTTGTACACGTCATAATAATAACATGGAGACAAAACAAACAAACACAGCATTATCTGAAGCAGTAGATCCTAACTTCAAATGGTTATCGCGTGCTGTTATCTTCACGCTGTTTATTTCATTCCATGCAGTAAAAGAAGTATCCCTTGTCCAAGAGAGAGAGAGAGAGGGTGTAACACTTCACTTCAAGAATCAATTCATAGGATGATTGCAATATAGAAGAATAAGAAAGCCCTTTCTGTCTGTCTGTCTCTCTCTCTCTCCCCTGATACTCACACCACACACACAACACACACACGCACGTATACACGTCCATGCAGAAACAGATTTTAAGGGCGGATTTCAAAATTATCGTATTCTACTTCTCTTCGTTACTTCAAAAAAAGAGGAAAGACGGGAAAAAACTCTATACTACAAACTTCATGACCATTATTACTGTTTTGCATTTTTATTATATATATATATTCTACAAATCTAGGCGTATCACTAAACCCGAAACGCAACAATGCATTCAAGTCATCCATCCTGTTTCGGTAAAGTGGAATTGCCCTAGTGTAATCATGAAGACTGGGTGTATGCGCGTATCTGTGTGTGTATGTGTGGGGGGTGGGGTGGGGTTGCGTTTACGTATGTTTGAGTGTGCACAAGGCTTTATATATATATATATATATATATATATATATATATATATATAACCCGCTTTACGCAAAAACTTCAGATTATTCGTAACATTTCCCACCATCACATTGCCATTATTATTATTATCATCACTATGTTCGTTTGTTTTCAGAAAGAGAATTTAAAACAGGCATTAACAACACATGCATATTATCATTTTTGAACCAACTATTATTTCCCTTCTACTCTGATTGAAAAGTTTGCTTCGTTTATGCATACAACAAAACTCGACCTTTTCTTTTCTTTTAGTTAGTTAGTTTGTTTGTTCTACTTTTGAATTTTACAATATTTTAAATATTATTGCGATAAGTATAAACAAACAAACAAACAATGCATTATTATTATTATTCAAATTTTATTAAACGCAATTTATATTCCCTCATCTTTTTTTTAAAAAAAAACAGTTTCTACTCCTTATAAAAATAATTATTTAAAGTAATCAGAGTAATGTAAAAGACTGTCAGATGACCACTACTCAAACTACTACTACTACTACTACCACTATCGCTACTACTTCTCGATGTGTGAAAGTAGTATATATGACATACATTTTAGATTTTTAAAAAAAAGGTGATATCTATGCGTAAAACTTATGCCTAAACTGTATGTGTATATAAATATACATTAAAATATATCAAATTATTGCGTGCATTTATATAAATATTGTCTGTATCGATAACTTCTATATTCTTCTTCAGCAGTCTGTATAGTTGTCTCGTCAGTTTTTGTGTGTGTCTGCATGTGTGTGTGTGTGTGTGTGAGTGAGCGTTTCGTTTCCTGTGTTCTGCGGTTCATTAACCTGTTTGCGACTCCTGTTCCGTACTAATACTTCTATTATTACTATTACTCTTATAATTACGTTCCTCAGCAAAAGCGGACAGACGAAAACCATTATTAATATTATTACTATTATTATTATGTGATGTATCTGTATGACTTTTTAAGTGCAAAAAAACATGTTACACAAGGTTATTAAAAATTATTACAAATTTTAATGATTTCCTTTAAATTTTGCTTAAATAAATAAAATAATTGGGTAAATTAAAGAACATAAATAAGAAATAAGTTTTACAAGTGAATCAGAATGATAGAGACAATAGTAATATGTAATGATGTAATGTATTGTATAGTTAGTTAATAATAAATGTCAGATGATATATATATATATATTCTTGGTTTTAGAAAAGTCTGTTTATATTACATCAGTATTCACTTTGGTTTCAAGGGTGGAACATAGATCTTCAACAGACCACCTTCATTTGACCCGGTTCATTCCAATCCATTTTAGCTGACTCCACGATTCTCAATAGACTCTCATTTCTTTCTCACACTCGAAGCAACAACGAACTCATCGTTTACTCGTCCGCGTTTTCGGTTTCCACAAGAGTGATGGCCTAGTGAGCGATTTCACTCAACGGTCTCCTAAGTCGTGACCGGTAGGATGCAGCTGGTCGGGTGTGAGGTCAAATGCTCGCCACCGAAGACATTGGCTGGGGTCGTGTTATATCGTGAATTGGCAGAAGGTAGAATTCGTGCGCCATTGGATCGGGTCCCAGTGGCTTAATGGTATACGAGCTGGCAAGCCTTGTAACCATAAGGTCATTGGTTCAGATCCCGGTGAATGCTTACTGTTGAAGAGTCCCAAACTAGGATGAAACAGTTGTGCAGTACTCCCAGGTTTTTCAGTGGTTCTCTAACTGATGTCAGCTCATGATGAAAATCCTGCTCTCCTAAGCATTTGTCTGCTCCATCTTTACTTTCTTTGGAATATTTGTTCAGCAGTAGGTTATGATTGATTGGTCCCCCTGAGATTCTTGTTGCTGATTCTTTCTGGTCTGCCAGTGAAGTTAGCCGTTAGCTGGTTTGAAGTACTTTTGATTACGCCCAGGCCAAGTTTCTGACCGATATAGATACAAAATCCAAATTTTATTGTTTATCGCTTAGCAGAGTAGACCTCTACACTGATTTTAGAGTGATCAGTATCTGTTTTGCCTTTCCGATTGTGGTATTGACGTTTTGATCCATTCTGTCTCCTGTAGTCTGAGACGATGGTGTATGGCCTAGATAAATGAAAAGAGTGATATCTATTTATACATAGTTTTAAAGTATATGGAAGTGTTTTTACTTCGATAAGTCACAAAGTGACGCCTCTTTCTAACTATGATATACAACTTTGCCCAGTCTAATAGAATGTCATAAGTTTTGGAAATGATGACAGGTTGAGCATATGGTTAGCGCCCCTACAATGGGATCACTGCAAAACTTCAAAACACAGGGAAAGTAAACTTATTCTCCTCTTGAATCCGGGAGACGAAATGATGCGTTTGGGTAAAAGTCTTCGAGAAGTCATTCAACCTATGTGTCTTCTTACGATGAAAGCGCAAAATAAGTATGGAGACGTGGAATGCTCTTATGGTGTTTGAATGTGGGAAGGCTACTAAGATTATAAAAGTGCAGTGACTTGCATTTACTAAGAAAGATGTCATTGAAATAGCTTACAATACTGCATTGTAGCGCTTACCTACAAAATGATGAACACTGTTCCAATCATAGTTCACGGTAAAGCATGATGAAAAACAATTGATTTCCCACAAACTGGAAGATATGCAAGTGAAAAGCAACAAGTTGGCAGAAGAAGCATCAAAGATAGGAAGGACTTTAGGTGAACATAGAGAAAACAGAGGTGATGAGGATTTCTGGCAATCAACAACAGCAAAAACAACAGAGAATGATCAGCATGAATAAGAGAAATCCTAAAGAAGCAACTCTCTCTCTCTACCTACCTGGGAAGCGTCGTTTCAACGACGGGCGGACGGAAGTGATGAGGATATGAAAGCGAGGATCGGGAAAGCAGGGCAAGCTTTCATTTCTCTCAAGTCTGTGGGGATGTCAACAGCACTCAGCATCAAAAATAACATCCGGATCTTCAACTCCAATGTGAATTCAGTGCTACTATACGGATCAGAGACTTGGTGAGTCATAAAGAGCACCCCAAACAAACTTCAGACCTTCATCAACAGTTGTCTTCGCTCAATACTCAAGATCAGATGACCAGCCAGAAAAGATCAGCAACAGGGATCTCTGGCAATGAGCGAACCAACCAGGAACCAATTATGCAACGAATATGCAGGAAGAAATGGAGATGGATTAGCTGGCCATACTCTGAGAAAACACGTCACCAGGTGACATCACTAGACAAGCCACTGCTCGAGTGGAACCAGTCCGAATGGGAAGCGGTGTGTTGATCGTCAGTGCAGTGATGGTTTGACTTGGAGGAGGTCATGTAAAGAGGAGATGAAAGCATGTGGGCAAACTTGGAGCGGGGTGAAAAAGTTGGCAGGGAACCGAAATCAATGGAGACGTGAGGCTAAAGCCCTGTGTTCCTCTAGGAATTAAAGAAAATAATAATATAAATAATTATATTATATATTATATCATAGGTCAAAGTAAATAATAATAATACCAACTGTATTCGGCATAAAAAGTTAACACTTTATATAAAATTGTCAGCCTAGTTTATTGCATAATACTTCCTCTGTATCCAGGATCTTCTAGTCAAAATAGCCAAGTACATCATGTGTTTCAATGCTTTTCAATCTAGAGAATAAAATAATGTCACATGGTATCCTTCTCTCATCGCCGAGAGATGCATAACAGTGATTATATTTGCCGACCCACCGAATCAAAAAAACGAGAAATAGAGTAGATTTCATGCATTTAGTGTTTTGCATGGAAATTCAGCTAGCCTAGTGATTTAAACAGGCTGCTGTAGAGGATTTCCTTCCATAAATAAAAACAGTGGTTTAGTCATCTACGAGCTTGCCTTGTAACCGGAAGGATCTAGACTCGAACACCAGTGAGTGTGTACTGATGAAGTGTCTCATAGTAGGATGAGACAACTAGCTGTCCAGTATCGCCAAATTTTCAAGTGGTTCTCTAACTATTGTCACCTCATAATGAAGTGCTGCGATCAGTTAAAGCTGTGCCAACCAACACTCATAATAAAAGCTATTGACTAGGATAATTTTTAGCACCACTTTTATTATTATGTACCTACAATATATGAGGCTGAAGGGATAATCCACACTGTATCGTTTAACATCCTTCAGACTGAAGATAAATAAATCATTATCCTGAAAAATAACTTAACAGACAATAACTTTCCATCAGGTTGTAATAAGTCGCAAGAAGTCGGATTTTTAGGCAATTCACGACATTCAAGGTAGATTTCCTGATGTCAAATTCACAATCTGAAAATCAGTTAGCAGTCTGCGATATACACAGTTCACAGAGGTGAAATTTCCCTTTAGGTTTTCTTTTTTTTTATTTATTCCTTTACGTTCCCAGTGGAACATAAGGCTTCAGGCTAGTGGCTTGAAGTTTAGGTAGCAGTGGTGTTTGTTTTTACGAGATGGGGTTGCTGGCCTCATGCTCAACCTTCCCTCTTTACCAGTCCTATTACTGGTTTAGCGAGGTAAAGGAGCGCGTCCGTGGCCGGAGATCGAACCCGAACAATGTGCATGGTTGGCGAGCGTCCTAACCGCTATGCCACCGACACAGGTTTTCTTTGGGAAACCAAATTATTGTGGTCACAGTATGCAATCTGCTTCATACCATTAATGGTAATCAACAAAGTAACCATATTTGCATCGAACTGTATACTACTGACTAATTGGGGATCAGTAGTTGTACACCGACCATATCAGTCAAAAGTGTTTGCTGGCTAGCTGGATTATCGAAGTGACCTAAACACCGGAAAGCCGTTACACCTGTTTGGAGTCGAAGTCAATACCGGTGTACTCGGTTTTGATTCACCTGGGACAGCCGAATCAGTTCAAACCACCTGAATTCCTTCTGAACAGGAATCAGAGAGTTAATGGAAACCATAGAGCAGTGAATGACTATTTTGTTCCAATTAACGATTCTTCTCCAAGATCTACCTATCTGATATATCCCGGTGAATAGTGGTACTGCCACTGCTAAAACTGGAACTTAACCCCCATCATTTCACACTAATAAAGGATTAGTGATCAGGCTGTTGAACTACTGTGTAGACATCTATTGTCCGATATATTTCAAGCTGTTATTTCTCGAAACTTGTGATTACATAAGGAACTATGTTAAGACAATCCACATAAATGTAAGAAATCTTACACTTTACAAGTGTGACCAACCGTATATGAGAAGGAAAAGTAGCCACACATTTATTGACTTACTGTAAAATACTGACATGCATATTGTCATGACACAAACAATGATCACAGGTTAAATGTTAATTACGTTCAAATAGAGTATTTTAACTTACTGTAGAGAAAATACTTCTGGAAATCTTTTACACCACTGAACTTGAAGTCACATTTCATAACAAACTTCCATCAGTTAAAGAATTATTCGGAACCAAAAAGCACTACTGGACGATTATTTCATGCTGTTTTGGAGCTCTTCGATAATCTACCCCCACGAACCCTCCAGGAATCAAACCTTATACTCTCAGGTCACTAAACGAGAGCGTTAGCATTCAACTAACTGGAAGAAATTTAATGGTTTATGAATCCTAACTTATAACATATCGCTGTGCATAATGGTGTGATCAGCCAATGTCGTTAACCAGTATTTGTTCTCAAATTGAGACAGTTAGATTTCTTTTTATGTGATGCTTCTGTAAGCGCGGGAGTTATGAAGCACATGAGTGGCCTCTGATTATTTCTATAAGTCATTTCTATCTAAGAAAGTTCAGAGTGATTTTTAAGGGCGTTATAATCATCGTTTGAAATTAAATACTTGATAATTCTACAAAGTTATAGGAGGCCGATTTCAAAAAATGTGATTAAACCTTGGATATTTTTCAGCATTCAGTTTGTAGGGATTCGATTCGTTTCAAGTCTGATTGAGGATAGTTATCATCTGTCTGTCTTGTTTCAACATAGAACTTTGCACCAGTGTGCAGCAGTTCGAGTCGCCACACTTCATTCAGCACACAAAGCAAGAGAAGAAAGTAAAAAGAAACGGAAAATAGAAACAGTACACAGAGATATGGGGCAAAATGAATAGTAATATCGAAGAACAATATAGTTTTATTGGATATTATAAGTCACAAGGAGTAGATGCATCTGCGCCAGCCATTGAGAACGATTCTGAGCCATATC